GTTTCCAGGCCCTTCACGCTCTTGGCGGCCCTCCTCCGAACTCACTCCCATTTTTCAACCTCCTTTCTGAACTGCAGTGTCCAGAACCAGACACAATATTCCAAGTGGGACCTGACCAAGACAGAGCAGGATGGGACAATTATTCCCATGCTCTGGACCCTATGTTCCTCTTAATACATCCCTAAATAGCTTTTAGCAGCTCCATCGCATTGCTGGCTCGCTAGGCCTGGCTCAAACTCATCTCCAGATTTCACAGATGTGTCCTTTTCTTGACAACAAGAGAGAAGCAGCTCGTCTTGGCTTTCACCTGGGATATTTCTACGATTCCCAGGCTGGCCTCCAGCTCTGGGACCTTCCCTCTCAGCTCTGCTTCAGATTCAGCTGCAAACAGGCTCAGGTTTGGGCACGAAGCACCTGTTTGCAACTCCTTCCTCCAAATCACCTTTTGGGGATCAGATTCAAAACACTGCACATCCAGAAGGAAAGGCAGCACCTACCCTGTGGAATGTACTTCCTGCTGTGACATTCTGGTGTGTTTATTTTACAAGCTCCTCTAATCGTTCTCCCTCTAATTTGGGCTTTTAAATTTTTGTAAGGTTTTTTGTCCCATTTTTACCCTGCTTTTTATTCTTTTTTCTTGTACAGTTTTCACTTTAAGCACTCTGGGACTTTCAAAACAAAAGGTGGCATACAAATACTTTAAATAAAGAGAGCAGAATAAAAGCAGATTATTGACCATTTTTTCTAATAAGAGAGGTACAGCCAGGCCTGTAAGCTTTACACAACAAAACGCAGCAGGTACCTTGAAGCTGCATCTCCTCGTAACAGAGAAGCGGTAAATGGCTAACTTCACAGGCAGCAGAAGCCCCACCGTCCTCCCTTCTGAGTCCCACAGAGGCCCCCTGGGTGCACCTGGGAAGCTCGGAAGCCTGGCTGCAGGACCCTGTCCCTTCCCAGCAACTGTCCCTTCCCTGTCCCTTCCCCAGTATTAAAGGCCCACTGCCTGGGATTCTGCAGATAGGAAACAGCTGCTGATACAACTGGAACTGCCCCAACACCGGCGGCATCTACAATTATTATTATTATTATTGGTCGCACAGTCAGCCAGATGTTTAGACTGGATTTGGCATTTATATCCACCTATTGAGTCCTTCCCAAGGACCTGAGATAGGCAGATGTTGTTGTTTGATGGTAATAAAGGTATCGTTGCATTTATTATTGTGGTAGTTGTTTTATTATATTTAGCTGCTATTAATAGCCAGGTCCTCTGCTTCATTCATTGCATTTATTATTATTATTATTATTATTATTATTATTATTATTTTATTTAGCTGCTATTAATAGCTGGGTCCTCTGCTTCTCTTGAAACATGTCCAGTTCCCAACAACAGCTGGCAGAACGTTCACAGTTTAGCTACACGCTGTGTTTAAAAAAATTTCTTCTTTCAGTCCTAAACTTCCCTGCATTTTGTTTCATGGATGACCTCTAGTTCTAACATTGTGAGTAAGGGAGGAAAAACTTCTCCCTCCATGTTCTCTGCACCTGGTGGCATTTATTCTGACTCCCGCCTGGCAGAAGGAACAGACGGTAGCCATACGTCAAGGGCACAGAGCCCTGCCAAGGAAAGAGTTACCAGCCCTAACGGCCTGTAATGCAGAATAACTCCAGGATTGCAATTCTTGAATAGTAAAAGGAAATATATTTAAGTGGCTTTGTAAGCACAGGCGTGGTTTACATTATGTAGAGATATACGCACTGAAGAAAAGTGGGTTTTGTTGATCCCCATCGTGGCCTGCAGGAGAAAGTGGGATGATTGCATCCAAAGGCTGTTAGGAGACCAGAGAAGTCTGTCAGCATGCAGCCAGAAGAGCCTCCCAGTGCAGAAGCAGCATACCTTTCAGACAGGAGACAAACAACTCAGCAGCTGCTTTCACAGGATTCCTCTGACGAGCCACTGCTAAGAGCAGACTCTGAGCAAATCATCCCCCATGTTTCAGCTTCTTTTCGCAGACCACCTGGAAGGCCATGTCCATCCAATCTCCTGTCTTCAGGCCCAGGTCCTTTTCTTATTTATTTACTTATTTATTAAATGGGTGCACTGCCTGACTCCCGGTGACTCTGGGCAGTTCACAAGTAAAAACAAGGGGGAAAAACCCAATATAACAATAATGGCAGGAGCCGTGGCTATTTGAGGGATCACCTCTCCCCAGTCACTGTTTCTGTTGTTGTTTTAATTGTTGTGAGCTGCCCAGAGTCACCCTTGCGAGATGGGCAGCTATACAAATTTAATAAATAAATAAAATAAGGACCCCCCCCCGAGCAAAAAAGAGCAAAAACGGGACAACAAAAACATGCACCAAGAGAGAGCTGCAACGCCCCTCGCCAAGCGCATGACATAAGACAGAAGTGGCTAGCCTTTGCCTGGGCTATTTCTGCCTTCCAGGCTCCAACGTGGGATCTCCTGGTGGTCTCCCCTCCCAGCCGTGCTTGACTTCCAGTCCAGACAAGACCAGGCAGGTGGCTCTCTGTTCTGCACACACCTGCTGCCTTTCTGTATGATGGACTAAAAATCCTCCCCATCCCTCTCCCTGGCTGAGGGTGATGGGAGTTGTAGTCCCACACCTCGGGGAGCTAAATCACCTTCCCTTCCCTCGCCACTCACCTCTCCTCCTCCGCCTCGTCCTTCTCTCGCAGCTCGTTTCTTCCGACGGACCTACCTCCCGCGGCCCCTCTTCGCCCCCCGGTTGCCTCGAACCCGGAAGAAAGAGGCAAAGAAAACAGGAAATGGCGGTGCGCCTGACCATAGACGTCTCCAGAGCGTCGCTTCCACGACCGGGAGGCGGGATTTCCGGTGCCACCTGCTGCTCTGCGGGAATCGATGGGGGGACGTGGATCCCCAAGTGGGCGCAGGGTCACGTGCTTCCCCTTTTATTTTTGTGTGTGTGATATAATTATGCTATATAAAACATAATT